CAATGAGGTGCCAACTTGGGCCAGTGAAGCAACGTCCTCCACAACTAGACTGAAGAACAAAACAACAGCAACTTGTCTGTTCCCCTTCCCCCAATTCCCTAATAAAAATCTTTAAAAATATATATATATATATATATGAAACTATATATATATGAGTGAGGATATGAAAATAGGCACTTTTGGGTTTATTTTCATTTATTTTTATAAAGGTGAGAGGCTTGGAGAAGTACACTTTTACCTGTTTTTTTTTAATTATCAAACACTTCATTGAACATTTAGTTTGAAACCTGTAATAGACTACATTATGTATCCCAATTTATATTTGTGATGGGATTGTTGTGACGATTGACTCATTTTTCCAAAATTTAATTTACAGAAGATGAAGGAAATTTACCAGATAAAGTAGATTGTTAACTCAGTTGGGTTAGTAATATACTACATCTTTAAATGCAATTTAAAATTTTAATTCTAGTCCTATGAAGTGGCACAACTAAAATGTATTGCTTTCCCTCTTGAAACCACGAGGGAATAATTTCTTTGTGAAACTGATTAGAAACGTCAGTTTTCTCATCATTACAAGCAAACAAATATGTCTTATTAAAGAGTTGCCATAATCTTCCTAGGCTATGGTTTTGAAATAAATGGACTTATTAAAAATAAAATGTTTGTAAACATTGCTGAAATTGCCCAAAACTCCCAACTTCAACAACTAATACCTGAAAATACAAAAGTTTAGACTCATGATTTTCATTATAAACATGCTGGATGATACTTTTTTTTTTACCCAGTTCTTTTCAGAGGCACATTTTGAGATGAGGGCAAATTTTACATTTTTACTTTAATGAAATAAAAACCAGACATTGGCTCAGGGTTGCAGAATCTTTTTATCTTATCAAGAGAAAACAAGTTTGAAAAGTGTGGGCTTTAAAAGGAGAAAGGAAACAATTCAAAATGTAAATACTAGGTCTGTAGATATCCCTTTGTTAATCAGTTAACATTGAACAATTTGATAAATCCAAATTAAATTTCTTTTAATTATCTTATATTCTAGTAGTTGAAATGTGTTATTTGAACTTCAAGATAGTATTTACGTATTTTAAAACTGAAAATGGTGGTTGGTGGCATAAGATAAAGCAACCTAGCGGCACTACTGGTACCATGTAAATGGGTCCTATAAAATTCTGGGTAAAGTACAAATTTAATTTGGGGATTAAGAGAGGTAAAATGATTCAAAGAGGTTCAGTGAATTGTGGCATCATTAAGGTTTTAATCTCATGCCTCCACCAAAGGTTAGTTAGCCTTTTGATTGGGATTGGACTTTCCCTGTTTTTCAGTTCAGCAAAGTATGCTGAGATCAGATCACTTAGAAAAAGAGAGCTTAGATGGCCAATCTGAAATGATCTGGAGAAAGCTATCACTTGAGTTTTTTGGGGTTTTTTCTTTTTGGTAAATGAGGTTTTAAAAAATGCCAGTGAGCTGGTGATTTATAGCTGACAGGATGAGATTCTTCAAAGAGAATTTCTGCATAAAATATAGGCCCTACAATTTGGGCCATGCAAATAAGAGTTGTTGTTTTTTTCCAAAATAATTTGGCTCGTGGCATTCTTAACTTGGGCAACAAGAAGACTTAACTATGAGAAATGGTGAAATGAAAAGGAAACACTTCCAAAGTTTTTCAGTAAAAGTTTCCAACTCATCCCCACGTGGTATAGTTGAATGAATGCATATATTCTCCTTGATGTCTTTTTATATCAAAGAACTGCACATAAATTTAAGGGTCAGAGAACAGCTAAAATCCCTAACAGACCAGGAGTCACACTGTGTGACACCCATAACCCATGTTAGGGGGCTCCTCAGACCTTTTCAAAGAAATGGCCCTAGGAGGTTCTTAACACTGCATTTCATTTTACCTTGGTCCCAACTCATTGGATTTGGCAAGAGACCTGACTCAAGGAAGGCAAAACTTGTAAGTTGGGCAAATGTTAAGGAAACACTGCCCAAATGATGAAAGCGATTGAGTCAATCAGATTCAGGAATTTGAACAGAAAGTAAAGGAGAAAATTGAATTTGTATAGGAGAGATGAAATAATAGAAAAGCTAAGGCACTAATGGAATGCTAGGGTCCTATACTTAAACGCTGGGAAGCAGCAACTGCTACTGTGAGATTTCTACATAAAAATACCTGGCTTCAATGAACCTGGCACGCAGTCAAGATCCCCCTTATGTTTGTATGGGTACTTCCAACAAACACTCCATTAAGAAAATCTTAATAAGGTGTTAGTCCTTTCACCCAAAGGGCTTTACTAATATTCTGCCATTCTAGTTTTAGAGGAAAGTGACTGCAGGTGTAATATTATGCTCCAGAATGTTAGGTCTGTGGTCGGGGCAAAAAATTTGCATTTCTAGCAAGTTTGAAGGCGAGGTTGAAAGTAGCTCGTCTGGAAACCACACATAGAAGAATCACTGCTAGACCACTGTGATCCTCAACCTTGCATGCACTTTGGAATACCCTTTGGAACATCAAAAAATACCTTTACAGGGGGTCTCACTCTGGATATTTGATTTAATTGGGCTGGGGTTTGACCTTACTTCTGGGAGGTTAACTCCCTTCCAGCTCAGTGTGAGGATCACTCAGAATTCAAGTAGGTAACTGTGAGGGTTGATCTTATGTGTCAACCTGGCTAGGCTATGGGTATCCTGTTTTTGGCCAAACATTATTCTTGATGTTGCTGTGAAGGTATTTTTTTTAGATGTGATTAATATTTAAGTCGGCAAACTTTGCATTAAGCAAGTTACCTTGCATAATAGGAGGGGGCCTCAGTTGAAGGCCTTAAAAATACAAGGAAGGAGGAATTCTGCCTCCAAACTGACTGCCTTCAGACTCGAGCTGCAACAACACCCCTTCCCCAAGTCCCCAGACTGCAGATTTGGGGCTTGCCAGCCCCCACAATCATGTGAGCCAATTCTTTACAATAAATCTTTCTCTCTCTGTATATATTGTACATGGGCCTCCAGCTTTTCATTTCTCTGGGGAACCCTGGCTAATACAAGAACCTATTTAGTCTTCATTCCAAATTGGTTCCCAGAAAGGCCCTGGCTCTAAATCAAAGAGTATAAACCCTTCACTAGATTTTTTTTTTCCTGTATCTGGCTTTAGGTGAATCAGTGAACATATAGCTCAGTCATTTTTAACTTCTTTCTCCTGTTTATATTATCAAATCCATTTAGTTCATGCTTGGAACATTCTTGAATCTGCTTTAGGTATTTTTGTTCATTTTCATCTTGTCTAGATCTAGACCACCCCAGTTAAAGAGCAGTAGTGTATCATATGCCCAGTGTTAATCCCCCCTTTTGGTGTTAGCACCAAATTTAACTTAGCAACCACCCATAGGCTCTGAGATCATGTAGTTCGGGTGGCGCCTCCTCACTTTGTGGTTCCAG